AATATTTAGGTTGCAACTTAAATATTTAAGTTGCAAGCCAAACATTTAGCTCAAAACTAAATATTTAATTCACAAGTTAAATATTTAGCTTGTCAACTAAATATTTAATTTGTAAGTTAAATATTTAGTTTATAAACTATGACATTTATAAATGTAGGAATCACATGGTGAAAAACTGACTTTGAAAAATAAATCTGTTCTTTTTTCTTATAAAAGGCTAAATAAAACAAAAATATTGGTGGTAATTTTTTTGACTGTGCAACTTTACAAACGGTGCCCCATAGCCGAGTGTCCAGATCCTCTGTGCGAAGCAGAGGGTAGAAGAAGGGGCTGGTTTCAGGCTAGACATGACACAAAAGGAGCAAAATAATGTTAAAGAATTAAAAAACTTTCTGAAAGGAATAATTTCATATACATCTGCAACTGATTTACTTTTGGAATCAACCCGAAAGTTATCAAACTCATTTTTACCGACGTTGAGCTAAAATTGGCGTGGTGGTAGCTGAGAGTCAATCCCAGCCCACTCTGAGCAAAATCACACGTCTCAGACTGCTTATTTACAWGTTTTGAACAAAATGATTACAGCTAACAGTGAAAACCATTGTTACATGTCATTTTATCCAGTGTATGCAAAATATTTAGTTTAAAACAAAGAGCTATTGACTAGGGAAGCTTAGTTAAAAGTGTCGATCTAATATTAGCTAAATCACATTGTGTGGTYTCTCAGTCGGAGCACTTCATGTTCTTCCACAGTTCTCAGTATCAGCAACTTTTCAAATAAACATGAATGAACAACTGTTTGTGGAAAAAGACAATGGGCTTTTTTAAAATAAAAATTAGTCCTTTTTATCAATATGATTCAAWACGGGGAAAAAGAGTTCTGCAATCCTTGTATATCTACTAAAASATCAGACGAGGCTATCCCAGAAAGATAAAACACAGAGTATGTTTCCACAAATTACTTCAGAGAGATTGACAAATCATCGAAATGGGATTCTCAGATGTTAAAAATGAAGACAGATTAAAAATGAACTACTCTGTATAAAAGTTAGATGAGGTGATCAGACAGAGAGAGCAGCTGCTGTGTGTGATGAGAGGAAAAGGCAGACAGGGAGTTGTGAACAGGAAGGAAAAGGAAAAGAGAAAGTGATGAGAAGAAAGCAGAGTGACAGCAGTGAAAATGAGAGGAGTGTAGAGGTGGAAGACAAAAAACGAGGACAGCCGCAGCAACAAGGCAAAGATTGAAAGGGAAACAGGAAAGAAAAGTGCTTACTGAGTTTAAAGCTCTCACATTCCTGAAGTSTTTTCATTTCCCGTCTTCATACCTGTCAGAGTCACCCACTTCTGTCCACAGCACCACAGAGAGCCCAGCCTGAAACTGGACGTAAAACACCTACTGTACATTAAACGATTATTGGAAAACCTTTGTTTTTCTTCTGTGTTGGTGGCTCCACATTTCTGACCTTTTCAGTCATCAATCTATCAGCACAGCMAGGCAGACGTGATGCTGTAGTTGTCATTGTCACAGTGGGTGGTAGATGAGGAGAGGACTCAAACACAGGAAACTGGAGCAGGCAGGTGGAGGCAGAGACATGATGAAAAACACTTAATGTAGATGGTTCAAAAAATATGAAACAAAAAATATTTATGTATATTTTTTCAATCTATCTATTAATAACCTTCGGGCATAAAATACCAAAATGCCTTAAAAAGTACACACAAATTAAATGAAGTACTGCTTTTGAACCCTTTAGAGT